CCTCTGCGCCGAAAACAACTACCCGACGACCGGCCCGCGCGCCATCGACATCCGCATCATCCTACTAGCCTACAACCCGAGCCAGCCCTTCTCCGCCGCCGCTCAAGCAGCACGTACGTCCCCGCCGGCCGGCGTCGTCGACCTCCCCGTCCTAGCCGTCACGCCGCGCCCCTGGACGCACATCTTCATCGTGCACTCGGAGCCCGGCGAAGCCCTCTTCACGCGCTTCAACGCCCACGCATCCGAGGGCATCACCGCACGCACCGGGCCATCATGGAGCGCCGTACGCGTGCGCGGCGGGATCCAGATTTGCAGCGCCGGAGACGCGGGGCCCTCAGTGCTCAGCGTGCCCGGCGGGCTGCGCGAGCGGCAGTCCTTCAGCTCCGTTGCGTGCTGGGGCGTGTTCGACCGGCTGCACTTCGGGCACAAGTTGATGCTTACCATGGCTGCGTTCCTGCTGCCGCCTGGCGTGCCGCAGGCAGCACAGTCGACATCACTGCTTGAGGCGCTGGCGACGGGACATGCGCCTCGCTCGCGCGTGAGACTCGTCGTTGGATTGACGGAGGGGCCGATGCTGAGCGAGCATGCGGCGCATGCGGCGGTGCAGCCGGTGCGGGAGCGGGCGCGCGCGATTGAGGACTTCCTGGGGGGCGTTCTACGGTTTGGCACGGAGGCTGCGACTAAGCCACCATATTCTCCTGACGGCATGGAGATTGTACCCGGAGTGACGGTACAGTGCCGTCGGACCGAGAACCCGTATGGGCCGGGCACGTTGGATGCCGGGCTTGAGGCGCTGGTGCTGGCGACTGAGTCGGTTCAGGAGGCGAAAGCGGTAAATGAGGGCCGCTGGGAGAGGCATTGGGAGAAACTGGAGGTATTTGAGATTGGCATGGTGGTTGCGGGTGAAAGCGACGAGCAGGCAGGTAAGAAGGTGGGCAGCGCGTCCCTCCGGAGAGATGTCCTTCGGAGCGACCCCGGCCTTAACCTCCCCATCGTCAAGGTGGGCAATCCGGCGGCGCATATTGTCGTTGCTGAGACAGAAGTTGATCCCATTGATCTCTGATCTCTGGTTTCTGGCTTTGTCCTGGTTGGAGTTGCGGGCGTTTTCCAGTATCGATCCAGATTGATGCCCAAATCGAAAGTCTGCCTTTTGATTGACTTCAGCCACTCTCCAATCCGACCAACCTGCCAGAATACCGTATGGGCACCGCCCGGTTCTCAACGGAAAAATGCATCTCATTAGTGGTCGCTTGACCACATCAAAGCTGCATCCCACGCTCAACTGGACATCGCCATCCAGACCAAATGTGGCAGTGATCCTTTCAGACTGGTCAAGAAAGCCTCCCCCACGCATAGCAGGCGATTCCATGGAGGGGAACCTGAGACCCGTATCATGCTCATCTGCGCCGATTACGGAGATACCTCCATGACCCATCACCCCGCATGATTACCGGCGTGCGCCATTGGCTATGCCCTGCATACTTGGCACCTGCAGTTCGGGGCGCTGAGCCGCTTCGGGGAACGTCTCGTCTTGGTATGCGAACGTGCCGCCCAATGTGTTGGAGACAGCGGCTCGTGCGCCATTTCGGAGAACGGATGAGGCTACGCTCAGTTTTGAAAATTGAGAAGGATGGAGGGGTTCCGGGGCGAGAACATTATCGCTACCGGGATCGTACCATAGAGGCGAGTTCCCGGCGTCAAGGCAAGCAATCATGACCTGCAAGAGGTGCCGGTCGTTAATGTCCAGACTCAGGCCGCCGGCATTGGCTCCGGGATGGGCACAGATGGACAAAGAAGCCTTGCGGGAGATGGGCTCTCGTCTAAGCCTCAAGTGCAGGGTGCGGGGCGCAGTTATCCGGATTCCAAGTCGATCTGCCCTGAGGTTGGAGCATAGAAGAACCCTTTTTCGGTCGCAAAGATCTCGTGTTGCTCATTTATCTTGCTGTAGAAAGCATACGTAAAGACAGCGGATTTTCCATATTCGGCATTCGAGCACTTTGAGGCGTTTGTGCGTTTCAGAATCTCGTATTATCTTCTTTCAGACGATATTGCGCCAACCAGGAATATGGCCGCACCACTTCCGCGCATGGACAGCGGGTACGGAGTCGGACAGGCTGCCGAGTTGCTAAATGAGGAACGAAAACACGCAATCCTCGTCAACGAGGTGGTCGTCCATGTCGAGAAGCCAGGGGATTCGTTTGATCAAGGTGGGCTGAAGCTCCATAAGTCAACATCAACCGTACGTATCCGGCTTTTATTCGTTGCTTTATCCTGCGGGGGTGTCTCCGGAGACCCGAATGAGGCGGCTTCCCCATTTGAGTCAACGGCTAGCATCGTTGTGTCGTTGCTGGTGTAGAAGCATCTTGCGCCCGATACAGTCCACCGGGAGCATCATGGCGTGAACCACAGCCTCGTCCCTTTGGCACACGAGCGGAGAAGGTTGCTAAAATGGATTAGCTGGACCATTTGCGGATTGATTTCCTCAACGGAGAGGTGAAGACGCTGCATCGGAGGCAGAGCCACGGTATGTCCCTCCATCGTTATGCATGCTGGCATATTGAGAGGAGCAGATGATATCCCTCACAAGGCTACGAACTTCATTGTGGAAGTCCAGTCCACGCAGGAAGCCTTGTTGGACCGCGAAGACACGGACCACAACCACCAGATAACCATCGACGATACGGGCCCCAAGGTGGGTGCATTACTAATCCAGTGAGCGGTGCTAACAAAGGCCAGGTCCTGGTGCTGCGGACAGTCAAGTCAAAGGGATTCCGCACTGCTGAAATCCGAGGCGCATATGCTCTGTCCAACGTGCTTGGCGCCCTCACGTTCGCGCAGGAAGACAAGGAGAAGTATGCCATCCTGCGTTGGTCCAGTCTCCATGAGGGGCCGGTTACCCGCCTTGCCCGGCTCATCAAGGATGTCTTTTGGGAGAATCTCACCCGCCGCCTGGATGCATCGATGATTGCCGCAGCCGCGACAGATGCCAAAGATTGGACGGAAAATCCACAGCCGCGGATATACGTTCCCCGTGGCGCTCCGGAGCAGTTCGAGTACTACACTCGTGTAGCCAAGGAGAAACCAGAGATCAACCTGGACGTGCAGCTGATCCCCAGCAATGTGACTGAAGAGGTGTACAAGAAGATGCTGGAAAAGCCCGGGCTCCTGGCCTTGGAGATGGAGGAATTCGTCAATCCCGTGACCGGCGAGAAGGACCTCCGCGGACTGCCGTTCATCGTCCCTGGCGGGCGGTTCAACGAGCTGTACAATTGGGACAGCTACTTCAACGCCATCGGCCTGCTGGCTAATGGTTACGTCCATCTCGTCCAGAGCATCGTGCGGAACTTCATCTTTGAAATTCAGCACTATGGCTTCGTCCCGAACGCGAACCGATCGTACTACCTGCTCCGGTCCCAGCCGCCGTTCCTCACCAGCCTGGCGCTCAAGGTATACAGACGGATCCGCCATGAGCCGGACTCAAAGGAATTCCTTCGAAACGCGACGCTGGCGGCCATCAAGGAGTACAACCAGGTATGGACCGCAGAGCCACGGTATGATCCAAAAACGGGCCTTTCGCGCTACCGGCCACAGGGCGTGGGCATTCCGCCGGAGTGTGAAAAGGGCGCGTTCTCCGGACTGTTGGAGCCGTACTGCAAGAAGCACAACATGACCGAGGACGAGTTTACGGAAGCGTACAATTCTGGGGCCGTTAAGGAACCGGTGCTCGATGAGTACTTTTTGCACGACCGCGCTGTGCGAGAGTCCGGGCACGATGTGTCGCTACGATTCGAGGGCGTCTGTGCCGACCTCGCCTGCATCGATCTCAACTGCCTCCTTTACCGCTACGAGACCGACATTGCCGAGATAATCCGCACCGAGTTCGATGACAAGCTACAAGTACCGGCCGAATTTTGCGCCATCGGAGACATCCCCGACCGGATCGAGACGTCCGCATTTTGGGACCGGAAGGCGAGGCTGCGGAAGGAGCGTATCGACAAGTACCTCTGGGACGCGGAGAAGGGCATGTACTTTGACTACAACACCAAGACAGGCAAAAAGCACACCGTCGAGTCGGCAACGTGCTTCTGGACGCTCTGGTGCGGAGTTGCGTCGCCGCGGCAGGCAGCCCAGCTCGTCAGCAGTGCACTCCCCAAGTTCGAGAAGCCGGGCGGCCTGGTCGGCACCACGGAAGAGTCAATACCCAACCGTGGCAAGAACCTGAAATGCCATGACGGACATCAGTGGGACTATCCCTTCGGCTGGTCGCCGCACCAGATCCTGGCGTGGGACGGACTGCGGCGGTATGGGTACTACCAGGACGCAGAGCGCGTTTGCTACCGGTGGTTGTACTCAATCATCAAAGTGTTCGTCGACTTCAACGGCGCAGTAGTGGAGAAGTACGACGTTACGAACCTGCGGGCGCCGCACATTGTGAAGGCGGAGTATGGCAACCAAGGGCTCGACTTCAAGGGATACGCCAAAGAAGGGTGAGTTGCTTGCTGTCGACATCCGATTCCGATTAACTGGCGTAGATTCGGTTGGACCAACGCGAGCTTCCTTCACGGCCTGTCAATCGTTAGCATTCGCATGCGGCGCGCACTGGAGGTTTGTGCAACATACGAAGCGTACAGCGAGTCTATCGGTGCGGAGAAGTTCTAATTCTACGAGGTTGACGTGGCGAGGACAGGCTTGGCTTGCAGGACGATGAAGTTCATCAGGATGACGTCATGAATGGCGGCACGAATGGCATGCTCATGAAGCACTGAAGCAACACAATAGTGCAGTATATCAACTTTGAGTTGGGCAACTGTGTGTCGTGCAGTGCGTCAGTGCCTCGTTCCCATACAGCGGTGCTTGATATCGATTACCCAGTTTTGAGAACCCGGCCCCCAGCACTGATCTGCCCCTCCCCTCCAACAACGGATTCAACGACACACAAACTGACCACCCCCAACCTCAACTTGCACAAATCAGCAAAAAGAGACAAAGGGCAAAAAGAGTGGCTGTGCCTGGAATCGAACCAGGGTTTACACGGATCCGGCGAAGGAAACCACAACGTGTTGTACTAACCACTATACGACACAACCTGGAGGATAAGCCACTTCGACCATTGGCCGATTGATGCTGAGGTAAGACTTTTTGCAACCTATAATGGGTTACATTTGGGTCACATTCGGATCACATTCACACTTCGAAGTCACAGCATTGCAATATTCAGAATTTTTTGATGTATCATTTGATTTTTGTATCTCCTCAAGCACCAGCTCCAAACCAAGTCTATTCCGCACTGCTTTCGCAGGCTTTATCTTGACCTAGCTCGGATAGCCAGTCAAGCGGCAGGGTCACACCTCGAGCGTCCTTCGGAGACATCGCCGCTCTTCCTCTTCCTCCATCCTAGCCCAGACCCTCGTGAGCATACCCTCGATCTCGGTTTGACGATCAAGGGTCTCGCTCCGCTCCTCGTGGAGCCTGCGCAAGTCATCCCTGATCCTGCACCACTCCACGTGGTAGCGGATCTTAGACCAGGTGGAGGAGGAGCGCAGATACTCCAGCAGCGCCCGACGCCTCTGGAGGCGCAGCCTCTCCGCCTCTTTTTCGCGGAAAACCCTTTCGAGGGCCCGAAGCTCCTCGCAGTATGCCGCCTCCATATGTTCAAGCACCTCTTTTTGCCGTGCCTCGAATCTGGCTAGACACTCGTCAGCCTCCTCAGTCCCCTTCGCCTTTGCGATGTCTGACCACATCTTCCTCTTCATACACTTGTCGCCCTCCGGCTCTTGCGTGTAAATATTTTCGTAAATATCTTCAAACATCTGCAGTCGTTTGAATGCTGATGTTTGAAGACGATGTATGCGTGGGGATCTATATCAGCATGGTGGACGAAGCCATATATACGGCATGGCCTTGGTGGGCCGTGAAGGCGATATAACGGAGTGTGAAGCAGCTGTCCACAATTGCGAGGTCAGCCTTGCAGTTTTATGAGGGTGGTCAACGGCGATGGTCTTGCAGAGGGAGACATAGTGGGCGAGACAGTGAAATATAACAAGATGTGAAGCAGGTATCCACAATTGCGAGGTCAGCCTTGCGCTTTTATGAGTGCAGCCAACAGCAATGGTCTTGCAGCGAGAGACATAGTGAGCGACAACAGCGCAATAGTCTCAAAGTGAAGAAAAATAAAAAAGGCACTTAAAATCAAAAATATACAGCTAAGTTCGACAAAGAGACGTCATCTCATCGCCCTCATCATCACGTCATCACGTACCGTGGTGATGGTGAGATACGCTATGCTGACGGCACAACCGGCGAAATCTTAGCCTCACTCCTCACTCTGCCGCGCATCGTGGTATATTCGAGCTCTACAACTACCGTATTCCAGCAATGGCGATCTTCAAGAATATTCAGACCTCGATTTGCGTGGCTTGTTCATCCGAAAACGTCGAGCAGAGGCTTATCGGCTAACGTGCCAATAGCGTTCAGCATCTTCGAGACTGGTCCATCTAGGTACTGCATAGGAGGAGTTTGGAGTAAGTCACTTATCTGTCTGTCTCCAAATCGGAAGACCCCATGATGCCCTCGCTCGATAGCCTCAACCCCATCCCTTCCAGGTGAACTGTACGGATGTACGGTAGCGATTGTCCTATCAACCTAGGCGTCTCGAGCGCCACGCCCTGTCCCGCCATCCATGGCGGCCATCTGGGCAAGGAAGGAGGCGTCAAGGGCGTCCTCGTATTCTCCATGGCCACAATCAACGTACAAAACCACGCGATACCCGCGGGGCGCCTAACCTCTCTCGCCCTCCCACCCCGTCACCAAAGGCGACGCGCCCATCAAGCGACATGAACCTCCTAACCCTCGCCCTGAGCCTCCTCGGCGTCTGGTTCCTCTCCAACACCCTCGCCTTCTGGTCCAACGTCTCCAAAGCACGCAAATCCAACCTCCCAATCCTCTACGCCCCCTTCAACACTAAAAACCCAATATGGATGGTCCTAAGCGTCGCCCTCCGCCCCCTCATCTACCGCATCCTCCCCGCCCGCCTCTACGATGAAATAAAGCCCCACCTCTTCGGTTGGGAATTCACCGACAAATACGCGCTCCACGCCCGCATCGGCCCCGCCTTCCTTGCCGTCTCCTCCGGCGAGATAATGTTCGTGTGCGCAGACCCAAACCTCGCGCAGGAAATCCTCTCCCGCACGCGCGACTTCCACGCCCTCAGCATGACAGGCGTGATAATGGGCATCTTCGGCCCGAACCTGATCACCCTCTCGGGGCCCGCCTGGTCCCGCCACCGCCGAATCGTCGCCCCCGCGCTGAACGAGCGCATCAGCGCCGCCGTCTGGGCCGAATCGCGGTCCCAAGCCGACCACATGCTCGCGTACTCCCTCGCCCAACCGAAAGGCCACAATCCCACGCCCCTCTCCGGCCTGCGCAGCATAGCCTTCAACGTCCTCGGCAATATCGGGTACGGCCAGCCGCAGCCCTGGAGCCCGGAGCCAGCGCGCATAGCCGGCGGGCAGAAACTGAGCTACTTCGGGTGTGTCCAGGCAGTGGTCGAGCACATCGTCCCCGCCGCCATCCTGCCGACGTGGTTCCTGCGCATGCCTTTCCTCCCGAAGGCCATGGACGCGGTGGCGCAGGCTATGACCGAGTTGCCGGCGCATACGAAGGCGATGTTGGCGGCGGAGCGGGCGGCGGGAGCGGAGAAGGGGAATATCATGAGTATGCTGGTGCGGTTGTCAGATCAGGAGGCTAGGGACGGTAAGAAGGAAGGGGGGGATTTGCCCAAGGGCGCGCAGTGGCTGTCCGAGGAGGAAATCAGCGGGAACCTCTTCCTCTTCACGGTCGCCGGGTTTGACACCACGGCCAACACGCTCGCGTACGCGCTCACGCTCCTCACCGCGCAACCCGAGTGGCAGAACTGGCTCGCCGAGGAACTAGACGCCGTATTCAGCTCCGCAACGGACGACGCCGACTACGCCACCTTCACGCGCCTCCCGCGCCTCCTGGCGGTTATGCACGAGACCCTCCGTTTGTTCCCGCCGCTGCTGCATCTCAGCCGCGAAAACCCGGCCTGGACCACCCTGACCACCGGTGCGGCGGAGTACCGCATCCCGCCCCACGCGCAATGCTACATCAACATCATGACGCTGCACACCGACCCTGCGCACTGGGGCTCCGACTCTTTGGACTTCCGGCCATCGCGCTGGCTCCCGGCTGACCACAAGCCTGGAATGCCTGAGCCGCTGATCACGCCAAAGAAGGGGACGTGGTATCCCTGGAGTGGTGGGCCGAGGGTGTGTCCTGGGATGAAGATGAGTCAGGTCGAGTTTGTGGGGGTTCTGAGTACCTTGCTTGAGGGGGCGAAGGTGGAGGTTGCTAGGCTCGAGGGCGAAGGGGTGGAGGAGGCGAAGGACAGGCTGAGGAGGTTGATGGCGGATTCGCAGCCGAAACTCACGTTGCAGATGAAGAGGCTACAGGAGGTACAGTTTAGGTGGGTTCGGAGATGATAATGGAAGCGGTTGATAAAAGACAAGGAGAGGAAGAGAGTCAAAGAGACGCTTGAGACTAAATAAACAATGTGGCAAATTCCCCATGTTCCTTCCTCCCATCGTGAGCACATTGCCATGGGAAGGAGTATCCGAGGATACGGTGTATATATTCTTGGGCTTTTCTTCTTCTCTTCTTCATCTTTTATCAACTCTTCACTCCACACCATAGCCTTTTGGACGTGTCAAGGCTATGCTTCCATTAATCTCTGACGTTACCCAACCGCCACCACCATGAGTAGGCTAACAGGTTACCTTGATATCAAAGCCGGCCTAGTAACTAACTTCCCCTTCACCGACGGCTCCTCGCGGCACAACAACCCCTCAACCTCAACCCAGCTCTCACTCCCCACGCACGCCCGACACCAAAACACCCCCGTCGGATCAACACTGTGCTTAATGTCCCAAAGCTTATCATAATTCGCCCCCCAAAACGCCCACTGCCACCCGGGCGCGTCCGGATCCGCCTCGTTAGCATACGTCCCAGCCTCGGGCGCCAGCCGTCGCAAAGAGAGCCCATACCGCGCAGCCTCCTCCTTGCGCCGCGCCAGTTCGCGCTGATCCGCCCCTTCCCACTGCACCTCCGCAGCTGGGCGCATGACCGCCGTGCGGAACGCCGGGTTCACGGCGTTCCCGCCACCCCGCATGAAGGGTGGGTTCCACGTCCCGACCCCCATCGTCGCGTCCGTCAGCATGTACGTGTCCGTCCCAAAGGCCCCGCGGATCGCTTGAGCCAGCTCCGGCTGCGCTACGTCCGCCGCGCTCCATAGCCAGGAGGCCATGATCTTGCTCCCGCCCATGCCGGGGAAGCCCGCCTGGACCGCGTTCGCGGTTTCCGCCTCCGCCGGCGCATTGCTCGCTTCAATCGCCTCGGCCAGCGATTCGAACTGCACGTACCGCCCAGTAGCCACCCCTGGTGCCGGGCGCCGCGGCTGCCGGGGCTTCCGCCGGTCGTCGTCATCGTCTTTGCCAGAGCTGGGCCGCGCGCCGCGGTTGCCCGGCATGGCCGCGACGATGGGGTCGACGATGGCGCGCAGGGCGTTCGCCGTCATGTTCGGAACGCTGACGGACCACGTCGCCTCGCCGCTGCGCCCCGGGTACCCGCGGATGTAGCCACTGCCGCCGACGCGAGCAAGCGCCGGCCACGAGCGATGCATGTGGACGATTTGGTCCCAGCCTTCGAGTTTGCCGTTGAAGCGGGCCGAGGTTTGCTTGGGGAGGGCTTGGATGGTGAAGGCTGTTGCGACGCCGTAGGTGCTGCCGCCGCCCTGGGGAGTGGGATTAGTGATGAGTACCGGGGATGAGGAGGGGGGACTTACGCCGCGCATCGCCCAGAAGTACTCCGTGTTCTGACATTCGTTGGCGGTAATGATTTCCCCCGCGGCGGTTACTAGCTCGATCTCGAGCACCATGTCAGCGCCGAGGCCGTACTTCGCGCTCAACGCTCCGTGGCCCCCGTTCTGCAGATACCCGCCTAGACTGACGCTGTTGAAGGCCCCGCCCACGACGCCGTAGTCCTTGCCGCGCGCGGACGAGTACACGTCGCC